ACATTGTCACCCACTTCACCATCTTTAAATTTTGTATTTGATGTTTTAAGCATCTTAGCACCTTGAGTTTGCAAGTCAGCATGAGCTGCTGATCTGTGTTCCATGATGTCTTGTTTGTTGTGACACAATCTGCAATGTTCCCTCCGTACCCTTCGTCTGCTTCATTGGGTATTCCACAAATAGCATGGACATCGTTGCCACAGGATCCAAAAGAATGAGCTGCACTACAATGTTTTTCACAAACTATATAGAATCTGTTGGCCACATTATTGTCACGCAACTGGTCTGGGCGTTCCGCCACGGCAGTAGATGTGTTAGCTTAGGATGTCGTTGCATTTATGGCAACCTCCATTTCTTGTTCAATGTTCTCAAGATCTTCCTCAGTAACTATTTTATCGAGAGCCCATATATGGAAACTAACATGGATTTACATTTTTTTCTTTTGACAGCCATCTGCTATGTCTGTCTAATGGTCTGACGGCCCTTTGGATCTATGTCGCCTTGCATATAGAATGCTATACAAACAAGAGCTAAACAATACGTTACTCTCAATGAAAACGCACTCAGAATAATGAAAATGCGATCACAACTTAGTCTAGATACAACATTGGCCAGGACATCCCGGCCAGTGCGCGCATTGGCCGGCCAATGTACAAAATACGCTGTCAAGTTTAAGCGCTTCGGACTTTGGCCAGTACGTCCCGGCCAGTGCGCGCATTGGCCGGCCAATGTACGAAATACGATCTTAGTGCTAAGTTCTTCGGGCTTTGGCCAAGAGAGCCGGCCAATGCGTGGATTGGCCGGCCAATCCGCGCTTTGACCGCACTTCGGGCTTTGACCGTAACATATATATTCGTATCAACTTTTCAGCGATTTCTGATAACCGGAAGTGGAACTTTTTCTACTTTCAATTTTTTAAAAGCCTTTAACTTGAGTACTATTTCAGATAGATAAATGAAATTTCACATATAAGTACAAGATATAATTCTCTGCATTCTATCAAATTTGAGTAATTTTCGTTGACCGGAAGTATTAATTTACGCTATTTCCGATTTCTCAAAAAACATGTGAATGTATAAAGTGCTAATAATATTTCGCACTATTATGCACATTTTTTTTTGGCGTTCACTTGATGTGCAATTGTTTTTTTTCTACTAGTCTAGATTATATTCTATTTTTAAAAGTTTAAGTAATTAAAAATGGATTAAAAAAATCTCTATCTATATCCTGAGTTGCCATCCCCCGTAGTGATATATTTGAGAAACTTTAGGGGAGATCACTCTCGGTTTATTTTTTGTCTGTTCCGCTAGATAAGAACATGTGCACTAAAGTGTAGAATTGTAAAATGCGTGTTTTTGTAGAGAATAATGTTCTTTTTTACCCAAATATTCATTTGTAGGAACACCCCTTTCATTATAAAAGTTCAGATCAAATAGTTTATTTTCACAAAAATTAAAAACTTTCACAGGAAACCATAGTAACGTCTCTTGAAGCGAATAACAATTTACCGAAATGACACGAAAGTTTTACTCTCTTACTCTGGCTAAAGTAAATAAAACACAATATATTTTCAGTCAATCGTGTGTTCCCTGCTGGTCGAGATGAGTCACCATGAAGGCGGTACGGGTTCGAAACACATCAAATCAAAATAAAATGATTTTGTTTTAAGGGGGTAGGCGCCAGTAAAAAAAAAAAAAACTTTTTAAATACTTGTTGGTGTAAGGATACTAAAGTGACCCACGCTTTTCTTTATAGTTATTTAAATAGAAGTCTGTAATTTATTTTCTAGTTTTTAGTGCATTATTACATAAAAGCTTGTTATTAAAACGTTTTTACAAGCTTTTATTTAACTTGCTTCCTCTGTCGTCAATCGTCAGTCTGTCTAGATCGAAACGCCGGAGTGAAAATTCGGAAACTTCTACTTGACCGATACGATTCACAGTTGGCACGTGGGTCAAGACATGAAGACAATGCAATCTGAAATTAAATTTGACTTAATTTGATGCCTAATTAATTTTTTATGAATTAATTAAAATTTTTACCAAATTAATTAGTAGGCATGTCTATCGAACCACACCACACGCGTCATCACGCAATGGTTTTTAGTCATGTAACTGAATTGTAAATAAAACATGTAAAGTACTGAAAAAAATTCACAAAAAACTTTTAATAACAAGCTTTTATGTAATAATGCACTAAAAAGTAGAAAATAAATTATAGACTACTATTTAAATAACTATAAAGAAAAGCGTGGGTCACTTTAGTATCTATTGGATACCTTTACTAATGTTACGGAAGACACCCACGCTTTTCTTTATAGTTATTTAATAGTAGTCTATAATTTATTTTCTACTTTTTAGTGCATTATTATATAAAAGCTTTTTATTAAAATGTTTTTTATGAATTTTTTTAAAATTATATTTCTCTTTTTGATAGTTTGCATTATTTGTCTATGGAGTGACTAAGTATTTAGACGTTGTTTGAGAAGTCTCAATGGTTGTAGTTTCACATCACGAGGTGGTATGATGGTCTGCGTTTAGTCTTGGATCAATGTAAATTTATTTTTTTATGAGAGCCTCATGTTCAGTTTGATAATTAACTGTGTCCATTGAGCTAGTAGTTTAACGCTCAGTGAGTGACCTGGTGTTTACAGGTTTTTACAAGTTTGTTCTGTGAACTACATGCGGACTGTTATTTAAGAGTTAATCTTGCCACCCTTCTTTGAAGGTTTTGTTTTGTTTATGTTGTGTTGTATTTAGTTTTGTAGCCTTTAGTTGTTTTTTTTTTTTTTTAGTTTTGAATTAATTTATAATAAATTTGATTCTTTTTTTCTTGTGTGTTTAATTTAGTTTAGACTAAGATCAGGGTTTAACCAGTCTGGGTTTAGCCGGACTTGCACTGACATGATAATAGATAATTTATATAAGCCAATGGACGTAAATATAGGTACCCCCTGTCAAGGCTTACAATAGGAAACAATTGTTTCTCTATAGCTGTTTTAAGGTACATCTGCTTGTGTTTCCACTAAAAATATTGGTGTGAAAATCTTGGTAACTATGACAACGGTGGCCATCTCTAAAAATTAACCCCTTCGTATTGTGGTCAGATCCATGTTCAACAGAAATCGATGTTTTTAAAAGACAAAAACATGTTGGCTGAAGTGTTAAGCTTTTTAGCGCAATTTCCATTCTGGAGAATTGCGTTTATTAACCCGTCATTTCTGGATGTATGAATGAATGGATGTGTGTCCGCAGCTTTAAGTCGTACCTCCTCCCCAACGAAGCAATATCGAGGACTAGTTCCAAAAGCAATTATGTTAAGCAATTTACGAGGATGAACATAGGCCAAAAAAATTCCGGGTTTCTTTCATGGATTTCCCGGAAAAGCCAAAAAAAACCTCGACAAAAATGCAGTTTTTGGCCCATATCTCGGCAACCAGACCACTTAGCGACTTGAAACATGTACCAATCGATTCCTGCCATAATTTAGAACAATATTGCCGAAGAAAGTTTAAAAAAATATCCTTTCGTTCGGTCACAAATTTTTTTTTTGAATTAATTAAAATTTGGACCGAATTAGTAGGCATTTTTATCCAACACGCGTCATCACGTTCAATAGCTGCGCCATCACGTTCAATGGCTGCGTCATCACGTTCAGTAGCTAGGCGCGCAATGGTTTTTAGTCATGTAACTCTATCTATATATATAATTCTCTTCTGGGATCAGTTAGAAAACAAGCTGCAAGCGCCTCCTTGCAGTCCCCTCTCTTTCTCTCTATCACTACTACCCCCCACCCCACCCCAACATTGTCTGGTGAACGGTGTTCACTCTAAATTTTTACAAAGCTAAATGTTTACAAATCGAAGAGCCGTACAGCCGGGTTTCTATTAGGGGCAGATAATTTAGTTCGATTTTAAACTTACAGGAGGTAACTAAGAAATAACTAAGAGGAGGCTGCTTTCACGGGGGGGGGGGGGGGGGGGTGTAGGGTCAGGGTTAGGGGAAAGTGGGGGGGGGGGGGGTTAGTGTTTTAAAGCAAATATTTTCAGTGGCAGCATTGGTACTGTCGAATTTACAAATTATGAATTACTGAAAAGTAGAAAATAAAACAACTAAATAGCGGCGTATGATACGCTGCGGGTCGGCTCGTTGTAAATAAAACATGTATTTTAACCAATGGTTTTACTAACCCTGCTCTTGATTTTTAGATAACATAAGGAAATTGCGCTAAAATTGTCACTAGACTTTTTAATTACCTTGTTTTAATGTGGGGACCGGCTTTTTGTGACGGTGTGAGACAGTAGGGAGGGGAGAGGGAAGATACAAAATCGTCAAACAAACGTGACGTCATGTATTGATGACCCCCCAATATCTCAGTTATCCAAGGATAACGTGTGGTCTAGTATTAATTAAAAACTCTCAATCGTAATTACCTTTCGAAAAAGCCCACTGATAATTTTTTTCTTAGGGGTTCGAAAATCCTAGCTAAGCCGCTGTCCCAGTGATTATAATTATAACAGAAAAAAAAATATTTTTTTGCGGGTCATCTTGCTTTTATCTAAAAAGAATTTAAATTGTTGTTTTTTTTTGGCGAGTGTAGATTTAGGACCATTGCTAAAGTGGAAGTTCCATCATTTGACATCATCCCGTGACTACAACTGAACACAACCTAAATATCTAGTTCCATCTTTAAAAAAAAAAAATCTTTTTAAACGATTTCCGTTTGGTCTTGTAATTGAAATGGAAGGAAACTTTCAGAAATAATTGAGGGGAAATATAGAGTAGTGTGGTGTATTTATAGGGAAAAATATTTGAACCCACACTCCCCCCATCCTCTACATAATAAAATCCCGCCTACGCCACGGTGTTGGACGTCCCCACGCCTGTTTACGCCTACATGCACTGGAAAATTCGACTCAGTTAATACGGTATTCCGGAATCTGATCAGACTAGGTTATTTTTATCTTTGGGGATGCCCGCTCGTATTTTTAAATTGTCGTATTTAGCTTGATCGGGCGGTTTAAAACTGTGGAGAAATGTATTAATAACAGTACTTGACTGCACAGACCATTGTGATGCTAGCCTAATGAGGTGAGTGCATTAGTTGGTGTTATTAAACCGAATTAATGACGTAGGCAGTCTTATATCGTTGTGTGTGTGTGGGGGGGGGGGAGGGGTGTAGTTTAAAAAAAAATTAAACAAAAATTTTCGCCATGAGTTTTCGTTATTCTGTAATTAATAGCCCATCCTTTTGTTAATCTGTAGTAGCACTTTTGACTGGGGCGTATTTGTCACATTCTTGATACGGGAACCTTTATATCGGGAGTTTACTTGTCGATGACCATTTGTCAGATGCCTTTCTCGTCGGTGATTTGACTCGACTGATTGAAAAGGTTATTTTAGCAGGGACAGTTTTTACGTCTTTGGAAGTTTTGCTTACCATCCATACAATCCTAAATAAAACATCTGTTCTTAGATTTATAAGGCGTTACACATCTGCCTGTAAAATACACAATGTGTTCCAATGTGTAAAATACGTGAGTTTAGTGTCGACTTTGACCCACCTATACATGTTAAAAAACGTCTTTCTCTAAGGATACTGGCCATGATCGGTGGGTGGAGAAACCCACGGGTAGTTTCCCCATTCACTTCCTCTTTCAGTAGCCTTTGTAATGAGTTACTAAGTAGCATCGGCTGGAGAATTAGACAGGGACGGCCTGTCAATAAAAACCTCGTGGACTTCTGAAGTCACGGCTGGTTGAACCGAGCAGACTTGAACACCACCCCAGCCCCCTCCATCCAAACCAGAACAACTCCCCAGCCCCCTCCATCCAAACAAGTTCCTGCAGCTGATTCTGCTTGTAGATGAGATCTTGTGTACCAGAGGCAGACAGAACTATTGATTACCTATAACAACGTGTGTTCACTGATGCAGCCGATCAATTCTCCATCAATATCTGCTGACAGTTCAACCACATACAGCTCTAAACACAGCTCTGCTTAGTTTTCTTGTATCTTGTGCTGGAGACTTGTGTTTGAGACTTGTGCCTTGTATTGATATTATTGTATCTTGTATTGGAGATCAGTGTTTTTTTCCAGGCATCTCTGCGGGTGGGGGGGGGGGAGAGCTCGAAGATAGTCTACCTCCCCCCCCCCCCCGTACGACATGTAAGGAATTCATGCAGAAAATATATACTTTTAATAGTGTCCGCCCACCCCCCCCCCCCATTTTTTTCCCAGTACCCCCCCCCCCCTTCCCCAGATAAAAAAGTCTGGAAGAAACATTGTTGGAGATTTGTGTCTGTCTTGTGTTGGGGACCTTGCTTTTATGTTGGAGACTTGTTTCTTGTATTGATAGACATATTTTATATATATGCAATGCCTTTATCCTATGAAATGGATTGTCCATGCAGATCCTGACAAGTGTTGAAACGGTTCCAGTCTATGAAAGGCACCAGACGACAGCAAATGGATACTGGCCATGACATTGGACCAGATGAAGAGAGATTGTATCCTGTACAGATGATCCGTGGCTTTCATGAGACTGACGATGGGGAAATGATCCTGGAGTATGAGAGAGTGTTTGTGCAGCGGCCGGCAGGTGGAACTTTTATTGAACCCCTTGATGAGACTCCACCAGCACCCAACCCAGCTCCTGTCAGGGACAGTGACCTCATGTTTCATGATGAGAAGGAAAGAATCCAAACATTTTCGGGATGCTGGCCTGACGTCTACCCTGTGGATCCTGCCAGTTTGGCTAAAAATGGTTTTGTTTTCATTGGACCTGGCGACCGTGTCAAGTGTGTTTTCTGTTTGAATACTTTGAGTAGCTGGGAAACGGGGGATGTGGTAGAAGATGAACATCGACGCCATTATCCAGACTGTCCTTTTGTACAGAACAGAGGACACGAGCAAAGACATAGGCAAAATTCCGCGAGACCAGCTGATGTTTACAATCAAAGCTAAGTTTTTTAAGAAAAAACAACGTGATGAAGGAAGATCACAACAACTAAGGTCATTGATATAAAGAAACTTGTAAATGACTACTCCAAAGAAGAATAATCTTTCTTGTTAAATGGTTTCTGCAGTTTGTTTGGACGGAGCTTCAGTCATGCTGGGAACGTTTTTGATTTTGGTTCGCTAGTGAAAGCCAGTATACCAGACATCATTTTTACTTTCTCGTATATACGAAGTATAGAGAAAGTCTTGTAATCGTGCAAAAAAAAAAATCGAGATTTTTACAAATCTCGACGTTTTACATCTCACTGATACGGAAAAACATAATTTTGCAATCTTGTCCGTATGTCTGTGTGTCTGTGTAAACACGATAACTTAAGTACCGTTACAGCTAGGTTGATGAAATTTCATATATAAGTATTTTATCAAAATCGTAGATCCGTATCAATTTTTGAGCGATTTCCGATAACCGGAAGTGGTACTTTTTCTACTTTGAATTTTTCAAAAGCCTATAACTTGAGTACTATTTCAGATAGATACATGAAATTTCACATGTAAGTAAAAGATCTAATTCTCTACCTTCTGTCAAATTTTGAGTAATTTTCGTTGACCGCAAGTACTAATTCACGCTATTTCCGATTTCTCAAAAAACTAATGTAACTTTTTAAAGTACTAATAATATTGCGCACTATTATGCACTTTTTTATTTAGCGTTCACTTGGAGTGCAACTCTTTTGTCTACGAGATTTTATTCTATTTTTAAAACTTTAAGTATTTAAAATGGATTAAAAATCATGTCTATAGCCCGAGTTCCCATCCCCTGTTATTTTATATAAGAATATTCGAGAAAGTTTTGGGGAGATCACTCCCGGTTTATTATGCATTGTGTTCTGCATAGAAACAAAGATTCATAAAAAGAAAAACAATGAAACGTGTCTTCAAAATGTTTTAAACTAATTAGTTTTAGTATGACATAGAATGGCCTAAATTCTAAGTCTAATTGTTCTCCGACAGAGCTATGGCTTAAAACTTGTTTATCAGTAGATCTAGATACATTCATTTGAATAATTGTATTCTCGAATTAGATCATCTTTCAATAGTATCCTATAGAAAATTGACAAAAATGTAATTTTTAAAAAAATCTTAGACGTGTCGTTAAAGTTATAGCCAATTGAAAATTTAGCTTTATCTAAATCTATAAAACCCCACGTTCGCACCTCTCTCTCTCTCTCTGTCTGTCCGCATTGAATGCCAAGTTATATTTGTTGGAAGTGTTTGTTCTCATGCAATTGTTATAATTAAAAGTGTGTTTTAACATTTGAATATATATCATTAATTTAATTTAAATAGATATGGTGCACAACATTTTTCTCTACATAAATACTTATCTTAAAGTTCTAAACATTGCGCAGATTGGAATCGACAATAAATAAATAAATACTTATACAAACATGTAAACAATCTTAAATTTAAAAGTATCAAGATATATTACATACTTTCAGAGCTCATCGGTGGCTTTCTAATCACATTTGATCCCTTTTTGCACGGCGAGTCAGGGATACTACAGATTCAACGGTCTAACTGTACTCGGCTGTCGTTTAACCCGGAGCATCATAGGCTCATTAAAAAATGGGCGTCCTCCAGCGCCCCGGCGGTCGTATGAACAGGCGCGTCCAGGGCTCGCCATGTTCACTATGAAGTCTTTGTTCGTTTTAAAGAGCGCCATACACTAAGGTTTTGGTGGGCTACTATAATCGTTGACTAAATCAAAACAGGGTCATAGAGTACAGATAGGCGCCCCGAGTTTCCCAGCGGTTAACTGGGCACACGGGGTCCGTTGATCTGGCGTACTGCACATGGCAGTGGAGTAGCTAGTGTTTGGGGAAGGACGCCCCGGGCGCCGAACTGAGGGGGGGTGCCCAAAAGGGTAGAAAAATTTAAAGCACATTTAAAGCTGCAGTTTTGAATTATAAAAATAGTTAAGGGGGTTGGCTCCGGAAAAAAACGTCTTAATTAATAAGCCTTTTTAAAAAATGTATGTGTGTATGTATAAGTTAGGGTACTTAAGGGAAAATATTTGCATACACCAGGGACTCTTCTGAAAATATGGTTGCCATGGCAACAGCACCTCTGCAGGTTTCGAACTGGCGCCCTGAGCTTTCCCGTGAGCGCAATGGCGCCTACGTCCGTTCTAAACAGTGCGATAGACAATGGATAAGATTGAGCGTTATAGTCGCTCACAAAAACTAATCAGGCGCGTTCGCCGGAGTCCCGGCATGGTGCAATTTGGCGCCATAGGTTATCTTGTAAGCACCAAGGCGCTTAAGTTAGTTTTAAGTAGCCAGGGGCAGTACGCGATGACCCTGCGGTAGTGTAATCGGGGGCTCCCGAGAGCGCCCATCTACGTCCCTGACACCTGGACGGTCACCAAAGTGTGTTCTACCTCATTATTAGGATTAGGCTTCATGCGGTAGTGTAGGTAAACCCGTGCCCCGATAAATAAATCCAAGCGCAGACATTGTTTACATATAAATAACTCTGTTTTATAAAATAAGGTGATACATCTAAGAATATGGGATTATATACGCAATTATATATATATATATATATATATATATATATATATATATATATATATATATATATATTGCGTATATATGGTCTTTGTGCTTAACTTCTCTTTTGCACATTTTTCGTTGTGTTTTTTCTGGTTGCAAATTTTTCTGTTTGCGCTTTTTTTCCGTTTGCGCTTTTTTCTGTGTGCGCTTTTTTCTGTGTGCGCTTTTTTCTGTTTGCGCTTTTTTCCGTTTGCACTTTTTTCTGTTTGCGCTTTTTTCTGTGTGCGCTTTTTTCTGTTTGCGCTTTTTCCCGTTTGCGCTTTTTTCCGTGTGCGCTTTTTTCTCTTTGCGCTTTTTTCCGTTTGCGCTTTTATGTCTTTGCACTTTTTTCCGTTTGCGCTTTTTTCTCTTTGCGCTTTTTTTCTGTGTGCGCTTTTTCCGTTGCGCTTTTTTCCGTTGCTCTTTTTTCCGTTGCGGTTCTTTCCGGCCACCATAATAAAACTATAACATCAACAAGCTATTTATTCCCCTGTGTAAACATGAGTACATATTTCAAACATTGCTGAGTTGAGTGTTCTGATTGATCATATTCCTTACGACATTGAACCGATGCAGAGTTTCTTCAAGTCATCTCTTCCCCCCCCCCCCTGACAACTCTTTACCGCCCCCCCTCCCGAAAAATTTTTACCGCCCCCCCCCCCCCCACCCCGAACGAAATGAAATTTATATAATTTATATAGAAAATATATACTTTTAACAGTGCCCCCCCCCCTGAGAAAAAAAGTCTGGAAGAAACACTGATCCGATGTCACTACGACGGTGACGTCTTACTACGTGTTTGTCCATTTAATCCAGGGGTCTCCAAACTACGGCCCGCGGGCCGTATGCGGCCCGCGAAGTCCTCTCATCCAAGGAAAAATCGTTTGTTGGTGATGGCTGAGGATGTTTGCCCAGAAAAATCAAAGACATGCCTGGAAGAAACCAGCCCCCGAACTGAAATTTGATAGTTAATGCGGCCCTCGGACTGAAAAGTTTGGAGACCCCTGATTAATCCATTGTTGAAAAGTATTCCCGATACCTATTTTCAGAATGCGTTCTACAGAATTCGTAAATACTAAAAACCGACCGTACTGCGTAGCCACTTTGTGTTTATTCGGCTATTGACAACTAAACAAAAAATATGTTACATCAAAACAATTTTAATTTTAAAAAAAATTCGTTTTAAAATTTAGATCTAGAATATAGATTCTAGATCTATTCTTTTTTTTTTAAAGTTAATTTATATTCTTTGCATGTTTTGTCACCTTCACAAGCACAATCGGGTTTTCCAAAAATTAGTATCTATCTAGTATCTAGTCTAGTATTTCAACATCAGGTAATCTGTCAGTTTACTATTAACTAACTCTAAATATATTGTTTAAATATAGATCTAGATGGCCTTTTTGTGGTTGTCTGTAGCATTCCTGCTCTCAGAAACTAACACAGGCTTAATTAAGTATAATATAATTACGCCAAGCCTTCACTTAAAATCAATAGCGATATGGTTTTTTTTTTTTTGAGGATCTGATTATAGTCTAGATCTAGATCTAATTCCCCTGAAACATTTATTGCCACAAATGTGATAGTTAAATCTCTCTCATAGTCGTGGGTTAGCTCATGGTGTCACCCCCCCCCCACCCCAAAATATGCGTTTGCATTTGACTTTGTGTTTGTGTTTAGTTTAGTTTTTTTCCCATATATATACATATACATATATATATATATATATATATATATATATATATATATATATATATATATATATATATATATATATATATATATATATCGTTTTGAAATTTCCCAATATGTCACCCCAATCTCCCTTTGGGGTCGTCCATAAATGACGTCACACTCACAGGGGGGAGGGGTCCGTAATTTTGTGACGGTGTGTGACGAGGGGGTTCAGATGGTACGACGTCACACTTTTGCATTATAAAAAAGCAATGTTAGAAAACTAATAGGAATTGATTAAAATACTCTATCTTGACAGAGTTCAGACAAGATTTTGGAAAATATCGATGTTTTAAGAAAAATTCATTGGGGGGGGGTTGTAGGCTGAGGTGTGACGTCATTTTAGGGGGAGGGGGTCTGACTTTTTGTGACGATGTGTGACGGAGGGGAGGGGGAGGTAAAAATCGTCAAAAAAGCGTGACGTCATTTATGGATGAGCCCTTTGGTGGACGCTGTATTTAACTCCGATCATATATACACATACGTTGTTTGCTCTATAAAATGTAATTGTAAATGGCTGTTCATTCTAACATTTATTAAACAAACCAATGAATATATCAATAAATGAATTAGCCTAACGTCTTTAAATTAATTTGTGATTAACAGTTTGTTTTTAAAAAATTGTTCTCTACCTAATTACGTAATTACTATAATTAGCTGTAGGCCTACAATACGTAATTAAGTAGAGAACAATTTTTTTGAAATAATTATACTACATAGTGCAGATTTTCTCCTGTAACCAAACAAATAAATATTCAAACAGGTAAACAAACTTGAGTTTTAGTTGTATAAGTATAAGATTAATATATAGATATATCTAAAGGGAAACTATTTTAGATTAATTAATTTTATCTAAAAGTAAAAGATGGCCGATTAACTACTACTTTTAATACTTTTATTTCAATAAAATCACGATATAGATCTAGAGCCGGTTATTATTCCGGAATTGTACAGCAGTAAAAAACAGTAAAACCATGGCGTAGTCTGCCGAGCCGTTCAGGAAACCACCGGAAATACTGTAAATCATAATTTATTTGCCGCCATATTATTTTTAATACATAATGTTTTAACTTTTAAAATATGCATGGATTGATTTTAGTTGCATTTTAAATACTGTTTTGCTAATTATTTTGTATTTCTAATTATTTTAAGTGTATGTGCTAATTATTGCTGCAACTCAATATTGTTCTAGTTCTTCTTACTGTCTTACTACTTTTAACTTTAGTAAATCTCTAATCGACTGATTTTTTTTTACTAAATCTAGATATCTAGATCTAGAATCTAGTTGTCGCAAATCTTCTGCAATTTTTTTCTGTTTCTTTAATAACAAAAAAAAACATTGATTACTACACTCGACTTTATTGAAAATATGTAGATTTTTGCTAATTTTCTGTCAATTCAACATTACATTAAGTTAAAACATTAACTTTATTTTTATTTCAACGGTCAAATAAACTATGTTTTACAGTAACAAATGTTACCGAAACTCAACAAACATTACCAGATAGATTCTAATTGACGACTCTATATCGTGAGATTACCTTTACTTCCAACAATAACATCATTGATTAAATCATTTTAGATCTAGATCTAGTATATTTTCAATTATTTTCCATTTATTTGGTCGTTGATGGTAAATTTATTATTGTAATTCTGGCAAGATCTAGATCTAGATTAAAGTTTAGGAGATCTAGATCTAGATCTAGATCTAGAACTAGATCTAGGTCTAGATTCTAGAAATATAAAACTAGTGTAGTATATCTCTAGTCTCTAGAAAATCTAGATCTAGACTCCTAGACTAGATCTAGAACTTAGTAGTACTGTAGTGATAAAGATGATTTTTTGGGTAATCTATCGTTTTAGTAGATCTAGTCTGGGTAAAACTTTCACCGCACATTACTAGATTTCTAGCTTCGTTGGAATACACGACGCTAAACTTAGGTTTTACCACCCTAGGCCTAGTCTGACATAAGATCTAGAGAATCTAGATCTAGAGAATCTAGATCTAGATCTAGATCTCTACATAAAATCGGCCGAAACTAGATCTAGAAATGTGAAAAAAAAGGTGACTCATTAATAATATTTAAAAATTTATTTTACATTTTTAGGAGGATTTATGTTTTGAAAGTCACACTAAGTTTATTAATGTTAATGTAGATTGTAGAATCTACCTGTTTTTAAACAATTGTATTAAAACTTTTCAGTAAAAAATAAAGACGCGATATTTTATGCAACCAAGCTCATTTACTTTAGTAAAATCATAATTAGAGATTCAGGGGAACTAATTTACAGATGGCTGCAGTATATAGATCTAGATTCTAGCTAATCTTGCTCGTAAACACTGCTGTTTCAAGTTCATTTCTAGACTATATACTATATATATATTATATATTGATAGATGTATATGTTTTTATGTAGCCATTGATTTTGGTTTATTATTCAGTTATCTATAATATTAATATTTGACACAAAATATCACAATATTAATATGCTTCTATTAAAGTAATTTAAAGCCTCAACAATGAGGCAACTTTTTAGCATATTACTATCCTAAGCCAATTTTACGGACCTAAAATGATTGATAGATTACCGCTTTTTTTTACCAGTGTCTGACAATGTGTTCATCCGGCCAATGGTCTGCATTGTAACGTGAAAGAAAGGTGACTCATTACTATGGCTTAAATAGTTTAAATACTAATAAATACAAGTAGATCTGTATTGTGATATATTTGTATTACATATAATAGATAATTGAAAAATAAACCAAAATCATTGTCTAACAAATCAATATAGGCCAGAAATCAACTTTAAACTGTAATGTTTGAGAACAAGTTTGGCTTTATAAACAGCGGCCATCTGTAAATTAGAGTGGTTTCCCCTGAATCTCTAATGATAACTTAACCAAGATGACTGCTGAAGAAAACGAGCTTGATGGCGTCTGATGAAAACGATTGTAGGAAAAAAAGTCACAGGAAAAATAAACACAGGAAAAAAAAAACAGAAAAAAAGTCACAGGAAAAAGGTCACAGGAAAAAAGTCACAAATATATATTTGCATGGAATTCGTTAATACTTTTATGTATTAAATATTCAGAGGTTGCAAATTAACTTAGGATTAATTAAATGTAATGTAATGTGTGTAAGTTGTATACGCATAGTAATTTTTATAATTCATCTAAAAATATTTATTATGAATTATGTAGATTGTAATTATGTTAAACATAATATGTATAGCATTTAATAGAATGTCCATGGTTTTCATCATGTTTTTTTAAAAATTCAATTACCGTGAAATGGTAAGGTCATTTAAATTACTGCGCTCAACTCATCGCAACAATAGTTATGCTTAGTTCAACCACCTTTACTGCCCACATTTATCACGCTCATTACATAACAAAACTTAGGATCAAAACAGAGAGCCGACAAGGTTCAAAGGCTGTCATTCACACAAAACGTCAACAACACAAAACATGTTCGGACAGTGCCTACTGAGAGGAGGCCGACCAGAGAATAGCCTACGGCAAAATATATGCAAAACACAATGATGTGCCTAAATTTCTTCTATAGTTAACTTATACTACCGCGTTTTTTAACTAATACGTAACAAAAGTTGAGATTGTTGTGTAAATTATCTTAGAGTAATTTTACTTAAAATTTTTATAAACCATAATGCTTTTAACGTCTATAAATAATTTATGCTATCAAAAAATACAACCCACAACAATAAACATACTAAATTTTACAATTATTAACAAATAAATAAAAATATTTCTAAAAAGATTTTTGTGACTTTTTCTGTGACTTTATTTCTGTGATTTTTTTCCGATAAAATTTTTCCATTGTGACTTTTTTTCCGTGACTTTTTTCCCTAGCAAAAACTGTGACTTTTTTTCTGTGTTTTTTTTCCTGTGACTTTTTTTCCGTTCACCGATGAAAACATCACTAATCTTTATTTAATACTGAAAAGTTTTAATAAAATGTTTAAAAAAAAAACAGGTAGGCCTACATGAAACATTTTTGTAATTTTTAAAACACAAATCCTCCTAAAATGTGAAATAATAACAAAAATTTAAGGAATGACCTTTCTTTCACATTAATAGCCTCTCATGATTTTACGTACCTAAACCAATAGATTACCAAAAATAATTTAAATAAGATAGGCATATCTAATTGAATAAATTATTAATTTAAATAATTTAATAAACCCAATGCAAAGTCTAAATACTAATTAGACCAGACCTAAATAGTAAATAACTCTATAGACTAGAAATTAACTTTAAACACTTTCAGCAGTCTTTGACATTTGAGAGAGCAAGATTCGCTATATTAAACAGCTGTCATCTGTTGTTTCCCCTTAAATTTTATTAAATAAAAAATACTATAGCAGTGAGTATAGGGCTATTAGGACCTACCAAATATTAAAAAAAAAACTTTAAAAAGATGGCTGCTAAGTCAACAAGCTTGGTTGCATCTGATAAAAACAACTCTAATCTTTATTTATTAGTCGACCTACTGAAAATGTTTTAATAAAATTGTTTAAAAACAGGAACATTAAACATTTTTGTAGCTTTTAAAACATAAATAATTGTAATCTAAGATTCAAAATCCTCATATATTGCAAAATAATTACTAAAATTTTATTATTAATCACCTCCTTTCTGTTACATTACTAGTTTCTGCAGATTTTAGATTCCTAAAACCATCACTTGCTAATGTCAACGCAAACCCCAAACCAAGCATGTTCTATTATAGCTGTAACCTTAATTATTATAGTTAACCGCCTATGGTGGACGGAGTGGTCTAGCAGTAGAGAGCTGGACTGCTAACCCTAAGTCTCGAGTTCAAATCCCGGTTCAAGTCAATAGACTGTCCCTGAGTCCACCCAACTCTGTTGGTTACCTATATAGTTTTGAAATGACCGCTCAACTTTGTACAAAACTATTAAATGTACTAAAACTAAATTTTAAAATAACTATTCTTGACTAAGTGTAACTTATTTCTAAAGTCTAAAACACTACTTTGTAAAGCAGGACTCTTGTTATTTTAATTAAAATATAACATACACATCTGCATAGTAAACAGCTAATAACTTTTGTAACTGTTCTCCAGAACAAAATATTTTAATGGAACAACAGCAGCTGCATTTTTACCAGCAAAAAATTTCTGTTTTTTAGGGAAAATATTTTCAAAGTGAACTAAAATCTGACAGAATAGAAGGCATACATATTTTTTAAATGAACACCGAGTTTGTTGAGTTACCTATTGGCAAGGGAGTGTGTGTGTATAGTTTCTGGTTTTAAATCTTTTCCTTTGCACCAAATTTTTTTTCTTTCTCTCAGATCAGGCTGGTGACTTGTCTATTTTCAGTCATTGTGTTTTAAAAAATGTAATGGCTATCTGGACTAAGAAATCAGCTCAGGCAACTCTGAAGAATGCACTTTGTAACAGATACTAGCCTATTCAAATCTCTTGATCTTCATACCAACAAGTTACATTCATTACATGGACAAAAGTAGAGATTGTACAACTTGATTGGTTTGTTTCAAGCAGGAATACATCCAATGTAATATGAATCAAGATGGCCATAGTTCTGAGCAAATGGAAACTGGCCATGACATTGGACCAGATGAAGAGAGATTGTATCCTGTACAGATGATCCGTGGCTTTCATGAGACTGACCATGGGGAGATGATCCTGGAGTATGAGAGAGTGTTTGTGCAGCGGCCGGCAGGTGGAACTTTTATTGAGCCCTTTGATGAGACCCCGCCAGCAGCCAGCCCAGCTCCCGTCAGGGCTAGTGACCCCAGGTTCCACGATGAGAAGGAAAGGCTGCAAACATTTTCGGGATGCTGGCCTGACGTCTACCCTGTGGATCCTGCCAGTTTGGCTAAAAATGGTTTTGTTTTCATTGGACCTGGCGACCGTGTCAAGTGTGTTTTCTGTTTGAATACTTTGAGGGGCTGGGAAACGGGGGATGTGGTAGAAGATGAACATCGACGCCATTATCCAGACTGTCCTTTTGTACGGGGGTGCTGTGGCCATTTGAATATTCCAATCCCGGACAGTGATCGTGTGAAAACAATTTTAGGGTTGGTTTGTTTTTATTTGGGGTTTGGTTTGTTTTTATTTGGGGTTTGGTTGTTTTTATTTAGGGTTTGGTTGTTTTTATTTAGGGTTTGGTTGTTTTTATTTAGGGGTTGTTTGTTTTTATTTGGGGTTTGGTTGTTTTTATTTAAGGTTTGGTTGTTTTTATTTAGGGTTTGGTTGTTTTTATTTGGGGTTTGGTTGTTTTTATTTGGGGTTTGTATTTATTTTGTAGTTTGTTTGTTTTTATTTAAGGTTTGGTTGTTTTTATTTAGGGTTTGTATTTATTTTGTAGCTTGTTTGTTTTTATTTAAGGTTTGGTTGTTTTTATTTAGGGTTTGGTTGTTTTTATTTAGGGTTTGGTTGTTTTTATTTGGGGTTTGTTTGTTTTTAACCTTATCTGCCTTTTATTTGTTTTCAATTTGATAACCATCATCTGTTAATCTTGTGTCAGATGTTAATGAAGTTAATCTTATGTCAGGTATAAACTAAAGCCAGAGTCAACCAATGTTGAAATGGTCCCTGAAACACAGCAGACAAATGTCAGGATGCAGGATTACAGCAGCAGACTTGAAACATTTCACACCTGGCCCAAAACCTGTCCAGTTAGCCCAGACCATCTGGCTGCTGCAGGATTTTTCTATACTGGTAACCCTTTTGTCATGTTCCCAACACATACATTTGTCAGACTAGTGACATTAACTGCTGATAATGAGCTTGTTAATTTTGTTCAAGCTTTAAATTGACTTGACACAGATCACTTGTGAGATGTTCACCTTTAGCCTTTGGTCAGAGAAAGCTTTTACAGTAGCTAATTAAAAGAATGTCTAGCAGGTAGCTCATTAAAAGAATGTCTCACAGGTAGCTAATTAAAAGAATGTCTGGCAGGTAGCTAATTAAAAGAATGTCTTGCAGGTAGCTAATTAAAAGAATGTCTTGCAGGTAACTAATTAAAAGAATGTCTAGCAGGTAGCTAATTAAAAGAATATCAAGCAGGTAGCTAATTAAAAGAATGTCTTGCAGGTAGCTAATTAAAAGAATGTCTAGCAGGTAGCTAATTAAAAGAATGTCTGGCAGGTAGCTAATTAAAAGAATGTCTGGCAGGTAGCTAATTAAAAGAATTTCTTACAGGTAGCTAATTAAAAGAATGTCTGGCAGGTAGCTAATTAAAAGAACGTCTTGCAGGTAGCTAATTAAAAGAATGTCTAGCAGGTAGCTAATTAAAAGAATGTCTAGCAGGTAGCTAATTAAAAGAATGTCTTGCAGGTAGAGAGGATGTGGTACAATGTTTTGTGTGTGGTAAAACAAAGAATGTCTTGCAGGTAGAGAGGATGTGGTACAAAGTTTTGTGTGTAGCTAATTAAAAGAATGTCTTGCAGGTAGAGAGGATGTGGTACAATGTTTTGTGTGTGGTAAAACAAAGAATGTCTTGCAGGTAGAGAGGATGTGGTACAATGTTTTGTGTGTGGTAAAACAAAGAATGTCTTGCAGGTAGAGAGGATGTGGTACAATGTTTTGTGTGTAGCTAATTAAAAGAATGTTTTGTGTGTAGCTAATTAAAAGAATGTCTTGCAGGTAGAGAGGATGTGGTACAATGTTTTGTGTGTAGCTAATTAAAAGAATGTCTTGCAGGTAGAGAGGATGTGGTACAATGTTTTGTGTGTGGTAAAACAAAGAATGTCTTGCAGGTAGAGAGGATGTGGTACAATGTTTTGTGTGTAGCTAATTAAAAGAATGTTTTGTGTGTAGCTAATTAAAAGAATGTCTTGCAGGTAGAGAGGATGTGGTACAATGTTTTGTGTGTAGCTAATTAAAAGAATGTCTTGCAGGTAGAGAGGATGTGGTACAATGTTTTGTGTGTGGTAAAACAGTCAAGAAATGGTGCGCTCAAGATTTGCCTTTTGTGGAACACGCCAAACTCAGCCCACGGTGTGCATTTGTCAACCAGTATAGGGAGGTCCACGGGACTACTGGGGTCATGAACAGACCGGAACCACAACAGGTCCATGGGACTACTGGCGTCATGAACAGACCGGAACCACAACAGGCCCATGGGACTACTGGGGCCATGAGCAGGCCGGAACCACAACAGGTACGTCTTGATGACCTCATTGACTGGTCAACATTGACTGGTCAACATTGACTGGCCAAGAGATGTCACTTACTAGTGAACTGATGTTATTATGTCATTTATAAATGAAGAGATATCATTTTGTATATGTTGATTGGTTTTGTTGATGTTTGGTTTTGTTGATGTTTGGTTTTGTTGATGTTTGGTTTTGTTGATAGGTTTGGTTGATGTTGATGTTTGTTTTTGTTAATGTTGATGTCTGTTTTTGTTGATGTTGTTGTTTGTTTTTGTTGATGTTTGGTTGTTGATGTTGTTTGGTTTTGTTGATGTTTGGTTTTGTTGTTTGGTTTTGTTGTTGTTTTGTTTTGTTGATGATGTTGTTTGGTTTTGTTGTAGTTTGTTTTTCTTGATATTGTTGTTTGGTTTTGTTGATGTTTGGTTGTTGATGTTGTTTGGTTTTGTTGATGTTTGGTTTTGTTGTAGTTTGTTTTTCTTGATTTTGTTGTTTAGTTTTGTTGATGTTTAGTTTTGTTGCTGCTGTTTCTTTCAGCCAATGTACAGCCAACTGCACCCAGGGACCAGCGTGCCGCAACAAGTTTCAAGCCACAAACTTGGTAACCATCTCCAGTTTATCACTCCATCAAATACACCAATATCTCTCTGTTACAACATTCAACAAGTTTGATGTACATTTACTCTCTGGCTACTGGTTCAGACCTCATTTGTCATGAGAAGATTTTTTATTTTGTTTACCTTGTCTGTTTGTGGCAAGTCAACATGGAATAACTTGACAGATGTCATCCTAATTGTCCAAACTTTTCTAAGCTAATTAAATATTAAATTCATTAGTAAAAGTTTGTTTATCGAATAACAAGAGGAGAGATGGCAAGATGATTGAGTTTCAATATTCATTTAGTTGAGGTGAGCTGTATGTATACCTGTGACTGTCATACCTGTGCAACTGTCATACCTGTGACTGTCATACCTGTGACTGTCTCAACTGTGCGACTGTCATACCTGTGTGACTGTCATACCTGTGTGACTGTCATACCTGTGCGACTGTCATACCTGTGCAACTTTCATACCTGTGCGACTGTCATACCTGTGCGACTGTCATACCTGTGTGACTGTCATACCTGTGTGACTGTCATACCTGTGTGACTGTCATATATGTGACTGTCATACCTGTGTGACTGTCATACCTGTGGGATTGTCATACCTGTGCGACTGTCATACCTGTGTGACTGTCATACCTGTGTGACTGTCATTTTACTGATAGTATTTAGGGTGTAGGCTAATTATAATTTAACCAAATTATTATAATTTATTTGCTATTTATTGTGATTAAAACTGAATTACTGGCTTACTTTTGTATTTTGACATTATAATATCTCTATACCACGATAAAAGAACTTTACAAAATGAGACCAACATTCTAAGCATTTGATCCCTCATGCAATCTCACATGTTTTAGTGGTTTCAATTATCCACATGACTGAGGCTATCATTGATCCACATGACTTATGCTATCATTGATCCACATGACTGAGGCTATCATTGATCCACATGACTGAGGCTATCATTGATCCACATGACTGAGGCTATCATTGATCCACATGACTGAGGCTATCATTGATCCACATGACTGAGGCTATCATTGATCCACATGATTGAGGCTATCATTGATCCACATGACTGAGGCTATCATTGATCCACATGACTGAGGCTATCATTGATCCACATGACTGAGGCTATCATTGATCCACATGACTGAGGCTATCATTGATCCACATGACTGAGGCTATCATTGATCCACATGACTGAGGCTATCATTGATCCACATGACTGAGGCTATCATTGATCCACATGACTGAGGCTGTCATTGATCCACATGACTGAGGCTATCATTGATCCACATGACTGAGGCTATCATTGATCCACATGACTGAGGCTATCATTGATCCACATGACTGAGGCTATCATTGATCCACATGACTGAGGCTATCATTGATCCACATGACTGAGGCTGTCATTGATCCACATGACTGAGGCTATCATTGATCCACATGACTTATGCTATCATTGATCCACATGACTGAGGCTATCATTGATCCACATGACTGAGGCTATCATTGATCCACATGACTGAGGCTATCATTGATCCACATGACTGAGGCTATCATTGATCCACATGACTGAGGCTGTCATTGATCCACATGACTGAGGCTATCATTGATCCACATGACTTATGCTATCATTGATCCACTTGACTTATGCTATCATTGATCCACATGACTGAGGCTGTCATTGATCCACATGACTGAGGCTATCATTGATCCACATGACTGAGGCTATCATTGATCCACATGACTGAGGCTATCATTGATCCACATGACTGAGGCTATCATTGATCCACATGACTTATGCTATCATTGATCCACATGACTGAGGCTATCATTGATCCACATGACTGAGGCTATCATTGATCCACATGACTGAGGCTATCATTGATCCACATGACTGAGGCTATCATTGATCCACATGACTTATGCTGTCATTGATCCACATGACTGAGGCTATCATTGATCCACATGACTGAGGCTGTCATTGATCCACATGACTGAGGCTATCATTGATCCACATGACTTATGCTATCATTGATCCACATGACTGGGGCTATCATTGATCCACATGACTGAGGCTATCATTGATCCACATGACTGAGGCTATCATTGATCCACATGACTTATGCTGTCATTGATCCACATGACTGAGGCTATCATTGATCCACATGACTTATGCTATCATTGATCCACATGACTTATGCTATCATTGGTCCACATGACTGAGGCTATCATTGATCCACATGACTTATGCTATCATTGATCCACTTGACTTATGCTATCATTGATCCACATGACTGAGGCTGTCATTGATCCACATGACTGAGGCTATCATTGATCCACATGACTGAGGCTATCATTGATCCACATGACTGAGGCTGTCATTGATCCACATGACTGAGGCTGTCATTGATCCACATGACTGAGGCTGTCATTGATCCACATGACTGAGGCTGTCATTGATCCACATGACTTATGCTGTCATTCATCCACATGACTTATGCTATCATTGGTCCACATGACTGAGGCTATCATTGATCCACATGACTGAGGCTATCATTGATCCACATGACTTATGCTATCATTGATCCACATGACTTATGCTGTCATTGATCCACATGACTTATGCTGTCATTCATCCACATGACCTGCTATCATTGATCCACATGACTTCTGCTGTCATTGATCCACATGACTTATGCTGTCATTGATCCACATGACTGAGGCTATCATTGATCCACATGACTGAGGCTGTCATTGATCCACATGACTGAGGCTGTCATTGATCCACATGACTGAGGCTGTCATTCATCCACATGACTTATGCTGTCATTGATCCACATGACTGAGGCTATCATTGATCCACATGACTGAGGCTGTCATTGATCCACATGACTTATGCTATCATTGATCCACATGACTTATGCTGTCATTGATCCACATGACTTATGCTGTCATTCATCCACATGACCTGCTGTCATTGATCCACATGACTTATGCTGTCATTGATCCACATGACTGAGGCTATCATTGATCCACATGACTGAGGCTGTCATTGATCCACATGACTGAGGCTATCATTGATCCACATGACTGAGGCTATCATTGATCCACATGACTTATGCTATAGTTGTTCCACAGAATCTGACCTACAGTCCCCTGCTGTCCAGGCTTTTCAAGCTGTCCAAAGCTTGCCGGTGGAGCAGCTGCGCCAGTTACTGGAGAACATCAGGCTATCAAAGGGTCAGTGTCTCATGGTGGGACAGTGTCTCATGGTGGGACAGTGTCTCATGATGGGACAGTGTTGTATGGTGGGGCAGTGTCACATGGTGGGACAGTGTCTCATGGTGGGGCAGTGTTGTATGGTGGGGCAGTGTTGTATGGTGGGGCAGTGTCTCATGGTGGGTCAGTGTCTCATGGTGGGGCAGTGTTGTATGGTGGGGCAGTGTTGTATGGTGGGGCAGTGTCTCATGGTGGGTCAGTGTCTCATGGTGGGGCAGTGTTGTATGGTGGGTCAGTGTCTCATGGTGGGTCAGTGTCTCATGGTGGGGCAGTGTTGTATGGTGGGGCAGTGTTGTATGGTGGGGCAGTGTCTCATGGTGGGGCAGTGTTGTATGGTGGGACAGTGTTGTATGGTGGGACAGTGTTGTATGGTGGGGCAGTGTTGTATGGTGGGTCAGTGTCTCATGGTGGGGCAGTGTTGTATGGTGGGACAGTGTTGTATGGTGGGGCAGTGTTGTATGGTGGGGCAGTGTTGTATTGTGGGGCAGTGTTGTATGGTGGGACAGTGTTGTATGGTGGGGCAGTGTTGTATGGTGGGGCAGTGTTGTATTGTGGGGCAGTGTTGTATGGTGGGGCAGTGTTGTATGGTGGGGCAGTGTTGTATGGTGGGGCAGTGTTGTATTGTGGGGCAGTGTTGTATGGTGGGACAGTGTTGTATGGTGGGACAGTGTTGTATGGTGGGGCAGTGTTGTATGGTGGGACAGTGTTGTATGGTGGGGCAGTGTTGTATGGTGGGGCAGTGTTGTATGGTGGGGCAGTGTTGTATGGTGGGGCAGTGTTGTATTGTGGGGCAGTGTTGTATGGTGGGACAGTGTTGTATGGTGGGACAGTGTTGTATGGTGGGGCAGTGTTGTATGGTGGGGCAGTGTTGTATGGTGGGACAGTGTTGTATGGTGGGACAGTGTTGTATGGTGGGGCAGTGTCTCATGGTGGGGCAGTGTTGTATGGTGGGGCAGTGTTGTATGGTGGGGCAGTGTTGTATGGTGGGGCAGTGTTGTATGGTGGGGCAGTGTTGTATGGTGGGACAGTGTTGTATGGTGGGGCAGTGTTGTATGGTGGGGCAGTGTTGTATGGTGGGTCAGTGTTGTATGGTGGGGCAGTGTTGTATGATGGGACAGTGTCACGTGATGTCATTCAAAGGGTCAGTGTTGTATGGTGGGGCAGTGTCTCATGGTGGGGCAGTGTTGTATGGTGGGGCAGTGTTGTATGGTGGGGCAGTGTTGTATGGTGGGGCAGTGTTGTATGGTGGGGCAGTGTTGTATGATGGGACAGTGTCACGTGATGTCATTCAAAGGGTCAGTGTTGTATGGTGGGGCAGTGTTGTATGGTGGGGCAGTGTTGTATGGTGGGACAGTGTTGTATGGTGGGGCAGTGTTGTATGGTGGGGCAGTGTTGTATTGTGGGGCAGTGTTGTATGGTGGGGCAGTGTTGTATGGTGGGACAGTGTCTCATGGTGGGGCAGTGTTGTATGGTGGGACAGTGTTGTATGGTGGGGCAGTGTTGTATGGTGGGGCAGTGTCTCATGGTGGGACAGTGTTGTATGGTGGGGCAGTGTTGTATGGTGGGACAGTGTTGTATGGTGGGACAGTGTTGTATGGTGGGGCAGTGTTGTATGGTGGGGCAGTGTTGTATTGTGGGGCAGTGTTGTATGGTGGGGCAGTGTTGTATGGTGGGACAGTGTTGCATGGTGGGGCAGTGTTGTATGGTGGGGCAGTGTTGTATGGTGGGGCAGTGTTGTATGGTGGGGCAGTGTTGTATGGTGGGGCAGTGTTGTATGGTGGGGCAGTGTTGTATGGTGGGGCAGTGTTGTATGGTCGGGCAGTGTTGCATGGTGGGACAGTGTTGCATGGTGGGGCAGTGTTGTATGGTGGGGCAGTGTTGTATGGTGGGACAGTGTTGTATGGTGGGGCAGTGTTGTATGGTGGGGCAGTGTTGCATGGTGGGGCAGTGTCTCATGGTGGGGCAGTGTCTCATGGTGGGGCAGTGTTGTATGGTGGGGCAGTGTTGTATGGTGGGGCAGTGTTGTATGGTGGGGCAGTGTTGTATGGTGGGGCAGTGTTGCATGGTGGGACAGTGTTGCATGGTGGGGCAGTGTTGTATGGTGGGGCAGTGTTGTATGGTGGGACAGTGTTGTATGGTGGGACAGTGTTGTATGGTGGGGCAGTGTTGTATGGTGGGGCAGTGTTGCATGGTGGGGCAGTGTCTCATGGTGGGGCAGTGTCTCATGGTGGGACAGTGTTGTATGGTGGGGCAGTGTTGTATGGTGGGACAGTGTTGTATGGTGGGACAGTGTTGTATGGTGGGACAGTGTTGTATGGTGGGGCAGTGTCTCATGGTGGGGCAGTGTCTCATGGTGGGGCAGTGTTGTATGGTGGGGCAGTGTTGTATGGTGGGACAGTGTCACGTGATGTCATTCAAAGGGTCAGTGTTGTATGGTGGGGCAGTGTCTCATGGTGGGGCAGTGTTGTATGGTGGGGCAGTGTTGTATGGTGGGGCAGTGTTGTATGGTGGGGCAGTGTTGTATGGTGGGGCAGTGTTGTATGGTGGGGCAGTGTCTCATGGTGGGGCAGTGTTGTATGGTGGGGCAGTGTTGTATGGTGGGGCAGTGTTGTATGGTGGGGCAGTGTCACGTGATGTCATTCAAAGGGTCAGTGTTGTATGGTGGGGCAGTGTTGTATGGTGGGGCAGTGTTGTATGGTGGGGCAGTGTTGTATGGTGGGGCAGTGTTGTATGGTGGGGCAGTGTTGTATGGTGGGGCAGTGTTGTATGGTGGGGCAGTGTTGTATGGTGGGGCAGTGTTGTATGGTGGGGCAGTGTTGTATGGTGGGACAGTGTCACGTGATGTCATTCAAAGGGTCAGTGTTGTATGGTGGGGCAGTGTCTCATGGTGGGGCAGTGTTGTATGGTGGGGCAGTGTTGTATGGTGGGGCAGTGTTGTATGGTGGGGCAGTGTCTCATGGTGGGGCAGTGTTGTATGGTGGGGCAGTGTTGTATGGTGGGGCAGTGTTGTATGGTGGGGCAGTGTCACGTGATGTCATTCAAAGGGTCAGTGTTGTATGGTGGGGCAGTGTTGTATGGTGGGGCAGTGTCACATGGTGGGGCAGTGTTGTATGGTGGGGCAGTGTTGTATGGTGGGGCAGTGTTGTATGGTGGGGCAGTGTTGTATGGTGGGGCAGTGTCACATGGTGGGGCAGTGTCACATGGTGGGGCAGTGTTGTATGGTGGGACAGTGTTGTATGGTGGGACAGTGTTGTATGGTGGGACAGTGTTGTATGGTGGGGCAGTGTTGTATGGTGGGACAGTGTTGTATGGTGGGACAGTGTCACATGGTGGGGCAGTGTTGTATGGTGGGGCAGTGTTGTATGGTGGGGCAGTGTTGTATGGTGGGGCAGTGTTGTATGGTGGGACAGTGTTGTATGGTGGGGCAGTGTTGTATGGTGGGGCAGTGTTGTATGGTGGGGCAGTGTCACGTGATGTCATTCAAAGGGTCAGTGTTGTATGGTGGGGCAGTGTTGTATGGTGGGGCAGTGTCACATGGTGGGGCAGTGTTGTATGGTGGGGCAGTGTTGTATGGTGGGACAGTGTTGTATGGTGGGGCAGTGTTGTATGGTGGGGCAGTGTTGTATGGTGGGACAGTGTTGTATGGTGGGGCAGTGTTGTATGGTGGGACAGTGTTGTATGGTGGGACAGTGTTGTATGGTGGGGCAGTGTTGTATGGTGGGGCAGTGTTGTATGGTGGGACAGTGTTGTATGGTGGGGCAGTGTTGTATGGTGGGACAGTGTTGTATGGTGGGACAGTGCTGTATGGTGGGGCAGTGTTGTATGGTGGGGCAGTGTTGTATGGTGGGACAGTGTTGTATGGTGTGACAGTGTTGTATGGTGGGACAGTGTTGTATGGTGGGGCAGTGTTGTATGGTGGGGCAGTGTTGTATGGTGGGGCAGTGTCACATGATGTCATGTATGTGACTAAGGTGCTGTATGTGACTAAGATGCTGTATGTGACTAAGATGCTGTATGTGACTAAGGTGCTGTATGTGACTAAGGTGCTGTATGTGACTAAGGTGCTGTATGTGACTAAAGTGCTGTATGTGACTAAGATGCTGTATGTGACTAAGGTTATGTGACTAAGGTGATGTATGTGACTAAGGTGCTGT